AGCACACAAAAATATGAAGCATTTTCAATGATATTTGTAAGACTGTAATAAAGGTAGAAGTTAGCTGTCGAACCCGTTCCTACACTAACTTAGCTTTACCCAATGTAGCGCATCTGATTCTTGCTTTTAAAAGGCTCTTGATATTAAGCTGTAAGCACTGCGTTAACAAGTTTCCGCATGGCTTCTCCCGGAACTTTCCAGCTCGAACCACTCGAACCACTCGTACCACTCGAACCGTTCGAACCACTCGAACCGCTCAAACCGCTCGAACCGCTCGAACCGCTCGAACCGCTCGAAACACTAGAACCGCTCGAAACACTAGAACCGCTCGAAACACTAGAACCGCTCGAAACACTAGAACCATTCGAACCACTTGAACCACTCGAACCACTCGTATCAGTGGAACCATGCGCACTTCTGCGGAAGGATCGATGGCGTGAGAGAAAATGGTCGTTTTCTGGTTGTTTTCCTTTTAGGTTGAACTGTCTCAAAGTAAAATAGGCGGCTGCGGAAGGGCCTGATTGCGATCTAGGTCCAGGACAAGGGCGTGTTTTAAATGGCGAAGTTTTGGTCTTTGCTTGGCCAAAGGAAGGTCCGAGGAGCCAATCAAAACTGTCGACCTCGCTCGATCGCCGGGTGATAGCACTCACTACTCTGCGCGCTGGTACTCTTTGTTTTTAAAATTAACAAATGCTTGTCTGTATTTAAAAGAGGAAAACAAATTTTAATCTGATAATCCTATTTTACTACCATATTATTTATGTTGACAAATATTCAGTTGGAATTGTTCAACATGATACGTTAGTCTCCATATTACATCAGTTTAATGCTATACATTTCGTAATGATTCCACACATTGCATAGCAATGAATATTTACTATATCAGTTAATATCCCTGTGTGGTTTTTAATTTCAACATGGACTATTATGAAATGAAATCATGCCATAATCATTATAACCCATATTTTATAATTAATGAAATGATTACATAATTCGAATATTTCTGGAGAACGTTGCAAAATTACTTTCACTTGAGTGGACAAACAGTAGTCATTCCCTTTTCTGAGTAATTAATAATGGTGATAACACTCAGATATCGCTGAGTTATTTTAGATGGAAAAATATAATTAACCAATTTATTTAAAATGTTTTGAAAGGTCAAGAATCAGCTTCTTGTGCTGAGTCGTAAACATTCCTTAGGAATACGATACAAAACTTAGGCGTACTGACGTCTGCATAACGTCTTGAGAGCCATAATCTTGAATGCGTATTTCATATTGAACATTTAATACCGTTATGAACATTATAATATACATTCTGCTACCGGTGTAGCATACACGCCAAGCACGTTCGTGTTTGTGAACATGGAAATTCATTAGTAATTTTGAATGAAATTATCATCTTAAAGCAGATAGCTCAATTGTAGAAGGAGCAACTTTGTAACTTCTTCGCATTGAATTGAAAACACATAAAATGTTAATGAACTCACAAAATCTTTTTGAGGTTACAAAAAAAGTTGAAAAATAATATTTAAACTTATATAATGCTACTTAGAAATGTGCGAGCTGACATTATGAATACATACGTATGACTTTTTCATGATATTATTATTTGAAATATAATTATGATATAAACAAGCTAGATTAAATTTGAAAAAAATCATGGCAGAACCATGTTACGAGTAACTGCAGTAAACATACTGTCGAAATTACGTTCAGAGATGCCAGCAACTTTTTTGTTATATTTCTATTAACTCATCTAGTGTCGAAATACTTTCTTAAAAAGTACTTACTCGCTTCTGTTTGACCTCTCCTTCTTCAGTTCTCCAAAAATTTCAGAACTACGTACGCATTTTCTCCCAAACTTACAAAATAAGAGATCTTATGTTCTTGCCATAACTTCATTTGATAGTCGTCCAAGTTTAAATTAATAATATTTACTGATGTAATAAATATATAAAATTAATTTGACTAATAGTCATTAGTTTCATGGTTCTGTATTTATTATGTTTCCTAGGGGGAAATTCTGTAATCTAAAAATATATTTTGTAAACACATTTTATTGGCATGAAAAATGTTTTGTATGTGATTTTGTATTTTTGGTTCTTTCGCGTACCGAATTTAAATACATAAATATAATTTAAAAATAGAAAACCGAAATCAAGTAGTGAGAATATTGATATTTGTTCTCCATTGTAATAATAGGATAAAAATGTTACATACTATCATAACTACAAGCAGTATTTTTCATATGATATTTGCCACATAATTTAGCGAAATTGTTATTAAAATAAGATTAGCTTTGGCTTTGCTGTTATCCAAATAAGTATGAAAATATTTCTCGTTTTTAGAAATGGTATTACCTTTCCAATTCAGAACTAGAAACGAATTGCATTGTATAAATTACTCATATTTTATCTCGTTATTCTGATTTAAATGCAGTTATGTAGAATGAAAAGCAGAAAAATAAAATAGGAAGAAAATCACTTTACATGCAGTTCACTGAGCATAATATACGTAATATCATGCTGATAGAACATGTTGCAATATGAATTACAATGGAATGCACTATTATGTCAGAGCTATGTTTCGAAAGAACAGTATGCAGACTTGCATGCGAGAAAACTACAGAGTGAAACTTTTCCTTATGAACTCTGGCCTGGCGAATGACTTCTCGTGGGACGAACCACTAACTGGTGGGCATTTAACACGACGCCGCTCTAAGGTGGCTTAAGCCTATTTCTTCTCTTAGTGCAATTTCGATCGACATTCCGGACAAAAATAAATGCAATAATAACGAACCGTGTTAAACTGTACATTTGCTATTCAAATATTTGAAAATACATATACTGAACGAAATTAGAATGTTTTTGTGATGAACACACTTAAGATGGCTATCGTTATCAATGCTCTGTAGTGCTAGCCAACCAAGCTCTCGAAGACCACATATCATCTATTAATGCGGGGTGGCATCATATATCAAGCGTTGGTCAGCGCCGGGCCTCACCATTCAGTGGGGGAGAAACACTGGCATCTCCCGTGATAAAACATTCACGTCACTTAACAGACCTAACGACCGACAGTGGATGAGCCCGAAACGTCAATCAACACTTTTTATCCGTGTACTCCGTGTCTTCAAGGTGATCGTACGAGGCCGTCAAAGGTGTCAAATCAACATCCCACTACTGTCATTGGTTACGAGCGCCATGGCGACGTTAACGTAGTTGAACTGAATTGTCACTGCGACTAACATTTGTATGATCCAATGCTACAATAAAAATCTATTTTAATTTATTCGGCTTTGATTTAATTTCATTTTACAGTAGATCGAAGTCTTACAAACCACACTCGTAAGCCTGTACTGAATGGTGCCCTCCACAGAAAAACACATCCAAGTGCAGTGCAAAGTGCACCATCGACAATGAAAAGCAGATGGTCCTGTGAGCGGGAAATTCAATATCAGGTAACCGTCAACATACGGAACAGAGAGGCAGAAAAACCTGAACCGGCAAACCTGAGGGTCTCGGGGTAGCTGGGGACCTTCGGGGTAGAGTTAACGAGGAGTCGCGCCGCTATAACCGGGGCACAATTATCACGTATCCCGAGCATGAATCAGCCCCCGAAGGTCTGTGTAACACGCGTGTTATATTGACACAGTTTGACTCGAAATAAGTAAATTGCGTCTTAAATTAACACTGTGTCTCAAACAATATACCGGAACAAATCTCAAACATCCAAAGCGTTCATGTGTGCCGTTTCACATAACATACAGTGTTATTCTTCGATGCGCGTTAATTAACGAGCGTCAACGCCACACCCGTGGGCAGGGGCTCTAAAATAACCCACTTAGAGACATTAGAGACATGCATGGATTTTTAAGGATTTTTCGTTGTTTTTTAAACATGCTGCAAAACCACATAAACTATCTCAATGAAACACCTGCAAATAATTCAGTGACTTACGATTCATCAATGTAATGTGTGAGAAAGGGATAGAAAAAGTTCCAGTTTCTAAGTCTCGTAATGCTCTTAGGATATATCACCAAATTGCTGTTCAATGACAGTGTTATGGTTGCATCATGATGTAAGAACTATCGTTCGTATCAAGGTCATTGCACACAAGCTCCAGTACACATGTTGAAGCCACCATTTTATGAATAACTCAATGAGGAATCTGGTGACGAACGAGTCGTCAACGAATGTAAAGTGGTGGCATTCGTTTCCCAACCGTTCTCGTTCATTCAGACTGCAAAAAGAGCCAGAACGTTGCAGAGAGGAACAAGTTCTCAGTCGCAGAAGAATTGAATTATTAACACTCTCGCGTCGCACTTAAAGCGAAGTGAACTCCGAGCCGAGTAAGACGTCTGCGGTGGAAGTTCTCGCCTCTAGTCGAGCAGTCGAGGCAAATGGCAACTGCAGTCGTCGTCAAGAAGGTATCGGGTTTCATGTCGACTGAAGCGCATTCTCACTTTAATGACACTCGGTTCACGCGCTGTTTAATACCCCGCACTAATAGATTAAATAGAAACTGTATTTTTATTCTGATGTGAAACATCTTTCAATGAACCATGAAGGGGAGGGTTTGTTTAGAAACATCACAGGGCAATGGAAAATTGGTTTGAAAATGTCGATTATATTTTTGCATCTATTATACCATTGGTATTATTGGGTTCAGAAAGGAAGACATCACTTGCCCAGGCATGTATTGTGAGCACAAGTAGTATCGTTGTCGTGCAATGCATCACGCATTCCAAGGTAAGTGTAGGTGATTGATTGTTTTGTGTTTTTGAGTGAATAAATTAATAAAGTGATTTAATAAATTATTTTAAAAAAGCAAGATTTAATAAAACTGCATACGTTACAATAACAAAGTAACCTACCTAATTTCGACTACTGAATATCTTCACATATCTACGTCTACAATATTTGGCTTAATTAAAATAGAATGGCGTTAAGCAAGAAAATTCGCATATCGTTCCAAAATTGTATTTCCAATTCGCACTGAAAATCATGTGAAAATAATATTTTCTCGTAATACGTAACACATTTGTAGAAGCCTTTCTTGGTGGGAATATCATCTTCAAAGAGTGCACTGTTAGAAGAGCTGTGTCGCTTCCATTTGAACATTCTGGGTATCGAATGAATCTGTGAATAGAAATCGTTTCTGAAAAATATCTTCGACTTTCTATGTTTCTACAAAGCGAGAGCTTGCACATTTATTATATGTTTTGTAACTAACTGAATAGCTCCCGCAAATTCTGCCTGTGATTGCAAAAACATCTATAGCATTCTTTCGGAGAAGCATACAAAGAGATGTAGTGAATGTACAGGCTATCACTAGTTAGCGATTTATTTCTATTTCCCTTTACTCTTCGTTTTCTACACAATTATTTTTTGCTTTTGCTGCCGTTCTGCACCAATCACAAAAAAAGTAGTTGGCATCGTCAAAGTGCACGAACCAGAAAAGGACAAATATGTTGTAATCGTTTTATCAGTATTAGTAACTCCCCAAATCACTTATTTATTTATTTAAAATATTGAGTATCCTTTCCGAATAGTTATAAACAGTAAATGTTGTATAAAATATTGTAATGTCTTGTAAACATATTTTCATTACCATACACTAGATAACGTATCATTTATTTATTAATTATTATTTATACATCTAAATGTAAAAGACGCGCACATATGTACAAATGTTCTAATTCGTTGTCATTTCATACAAAATGAGATTTATCATTCGTCGAAGTTTTCAAATGCCTCCTAGAACAACATTTCCAAATGCTTGTTGATATTAAAATTCTTATCAATCTTATTTACTATCAACAGTTCAAAAATAACAATACACAATCATTAACCAGTGTTCTACTTTTATCGAAGATGTTTGGTGCTTAGTGTTGTGCAGCAGAAATCGGATTTGAACTGACGTAAACTGTCTTGAAGTGTTGCAATGTGAAGGGCGTTGAAATCACATAATCTCTGGTTCTTTTTAGAATAGTTATATAGAATGAAAACACTCAATTAGATATATTGTTATTTTCATAGTAAATTTATTATACAATAATCTATAAGTAATATGCATACGTAATCTGTGTATTTTCTTACATAGTTCCACGATTAATATGAAATAATTAACACGTTTAAAAGTTAAACCTAAACCTTTATTAGAGACAAAACGATAAAGGAGAGAGCCGTTCTACAATCGGGAATATAAAATTTCAGATAAAGAATCAACTTTTAGTGTTGAAATTTAAAGAGAAAACATTTCCTGATAGAAAAGCTGATGAAAGTAAGATCAAGTATGGAGTAAGACACTTTCAAAGAAACAGTTGCAAAATATCTGATGATTCTAAGCGTTCTTTGTGGTGCGACATGAATTGAATCAATGAATGGCAATTGTTGGTTGGCTCGTGCTTAGAGCTAAGTTTCTCACCTTTCATCTAAGGTTCACCTAAGATCCGGGTTAGATTCCCGAACACATTCATATGAAATTTGTTCCGATAAAACGAGGTTGGCTGCATCGCAAGGGCTAGTTCAACCCCTGTGATGTGTCCTAAATCCTACCCCTTTCCTAATTATTTTCCAATTCTGGCAGACCTCTTGGCACTTTACTGAGACGAGAATGGATAGTAGACCAATGTAACATTAACGGAGGATTACTCCACAAATGTTAAAGGAAGATTAGTCATTAAAAACAAACTCTCGTCGCCCTTCTAGAGATTTGGAAGCTCGTTGCTTCAATACAGACGCAACAAATTTTAAAAAATGAATGATATTAGATAGAACAATTTACAACGTAACACCTATTATAATTTTTCTAATTCTCTGATTGAAGACACGAGTATTTCCTCAAATGTAAATTATGTATTTAAAAATCAAAATGTAGTCATACTAAATGAAATGCAGTTTCTGATGCATTCACTAGTATTTCTTGATTGCATCACTATTACATTTGTATGCCTCATTTTTACACTTATAGTTAATTAATGATGTAAGTCAGCTGCAAGAAAGATGTAATAATGGAAGGAATATAAATTCACGATTTTTGAGCAATCTTGCATCTTTGAGTATCTAGAGAAATATCCATACGATTCAGTTGAGGTCTTTTGTGGAAACGTTCAATATTCTCGAAATACAAAAGTGGTGAAATATGATAAAAGGATGAAATTTGGGCTTTAACTTTTTCTTCTTCGACAGAAGCTTAAAGCCTGTTCTCTTCATGATCACATTTCCTCAACCTTTACCTCGGCCTTTCATTGCTTCTTGTGTCCGCTGGTTTCATTCATATTCTGGCATATATCAAATACTTTAGTCATACAATTGTTAGATAAATGTTTGGTCATAAGACGTCTTAAAAAAATAAAACCTTTACATTTGTCTCACAGATTTTAAAGTGTAGTTACATCTGTCATCAACTGTAGTAATAGAGATACTAATGACTATCTTATTCAATTAATGCTAAATACCTTGTATTAGAAGTACTTATTGTTCTCATGTATGAACAGATAGTGTACACGCCTTTAACTATTTTTTTAAAAAATCATTATTTTCGATAATAGTTTTAATACGATTATGACTGAAAATATTCTTGATTACCTCATTTGCTATAACCAACTAGGTATACATTGATTTACAATTATTTGTACACGTGTGTTAAAGTAGGTCTAAAGAGTCTCATAATGGTCATTTATAGTTATATATTGGTGAGAATTTTCAATGTGGTCTGCTGTTTTTTTAATGAAAAAATGATTCATATCCTATTGGAAATGGAAGGCCGAGGAAATAATGGATATTCTATTACAAAACGAATTTCAGATGGGTTAAAAATTTTGGCAACTTTTGGCAATAAAACCTAGTAACTTCCTGTTTCTATGTGGGTGGCTTGGTTTTTAGTGGGATACACTTTATTTTGTAACGCTAGCGAACAAGATTGCCTACTTCCTGTTACTTCAGTAGGGTTGGAGGTTACGTTCACTCCCGGGGTGACGAGCCGCAGCTGAGCTGCATTTAGCAGTCCTCAGTATTTTGGGAGTCAATTACTCTTATAATTTGCGTCAAAGGTTCGGTTCAGTATTCACACAAGAATTTAGAATCTCGCGGAGCACAACTTTAGCACAACCATTCACCATGGTCTCCTGAATGCGAATGGAATATTCTTTATTCCATTACTGGACAGGAAATTAACAAAATACCGGCTGTAAAAACAGTTTTGAAGACAATTTAAATCACGTAGAAAAGAATTAAAGAAAATATAATATAACAATTGCACATTGAAAAACCAAAAAAATATATAAATTAAAAAAATACAAATCTGCAGATCAGATCTGAGGAAGGATCCGAAAAATACTCAAATATCGCTATCACAGCCTTCAATACGGCGTCATCTGGCCAGCCAAAGCACTTGCAAGGAAAACGAGGAAGGAAGAGCATTCGAGTCATGTATAGTTTCCTATGCGTCTCAGTGTGAGTTGGTGTGTTTGTGAGTGAAAAAACAACACAAAGATAGAGAATGAAAAGACAGGGAAAGAGAGCAAGAGAAATATGATGAAAAAGAGAGTAAAGACAGCAATGATTATAAGCATTATAAAATTAAAGACGCATAGAAAGAAAGTAAAAACGTGGGTAAACGCGTAGTTGCCAGTGCATGCGAGTGTGCGAGAACGTGTGTGTGTGTGTGTGTGTGTGTGAGAGAGAGAGTTTCCAAGTGTTGCCCTAATGACCCGTCCATTGAAGGCTCTTGCTTTCTACCCGACCGGACAGCTGTGGACAACATCTCGCCAAGACGAGCAGTTTAAGGAGCCTGATCGCGCTCTGGAATAATTTATTGCCGTCCCTGCGACCGACAGCCTTGGGCCTTTAACGTCACATTGACAGCGCACTTCGCTCGAAAAGGCGACGAGGAAGGAGCACGGGCAGGCGAAGCATAAAATTCCAAAGTAAACTTGTTTAAAAAAAAGAACTTCGCCTTCAAAAAAGACGTGTATTAAATGGTGACATGTACACGTTCGTAATGCAATATCGGACATCGATCGAAGTACTGCTGACAGTTTTACGTTCCAGAAGGCTTGTCGTAAATGATACGATCAAATCGGATTCCTTTACGAATTACGTGGCTTTGACGTCGAGCGTATGATTTACCTCCTGAGTAAGAGTAAGATGTCGAACGTGGTGGTGGAATTTTTAAGCGTATAATTTGTGAAAGCAAAGAACATGAAAATTATTTAGTGTGACAACCTACAATTTGGCAAAGAACAGGTATACACAACATTATTTAAAGCTTTGCCATTATTTGTTTTTTAATTAATATCATCGGCAAGACGCCTAACCTGCACTTGCGAGGACCATTGGTCTTCGGTCTATTTTTTTCACTTTATGGGTTTGCTGCTAGGACGCTTTCTTCTAATTTTTCAATATTCGCATTTAATTTGCTGTATTTATAGCCTGTCTGCTGATTAGGCTTGGATTTGTCCCAATATGAGTACAATCATCATTCATTTTTTATTTGTTCATGTCTGGTAAACCCCATAAATCAATATTTTGAGTGGTTACCTCAAATTCGTAATTGTATGGAATCATTTTGTAGTACAATTTGGTATTAATTATATTTTTTTCTTTCTTATTTATAACAATTCTAGATAATTCAGTGGCGCACCCATGAGACTTCAAATCGCCCACGAAGCCAATGATGTGTATTCACTAACTCGTTTTCACTAATTTTCGATACAAAGGAAAGTCATTCAATATCACGGATGCATGAGTTTTAAATAACTATTAATGAAGAAATAAAATTACATTTTACATTCAGCGTAAATTAAAAACTCTTGGAGAAACAATTACTCGGCTGGACACTATACCTATAGAGCCCGTCCCATTGAAAAATCCTGGTTGCGACGCTATGAAAATACATTGATTTTCGCAGGTCGTCAATTTGAAAGTAAATATAATCGTCAGATGTGAAATAAGGTGTTTGTGAATCAGTTGTTTTATGTAAATACGTCTCCATTTTGGGTTCTTGACTATCATATACTATTATTGAAATAAAACGCGTCATGTATTACAATTTTCGGAGTTAAAAATGCAAACTTGGAGCTTAGATATAGCCACTTAACAGGCCTCATGTGTAAATACTGAATAAATTCAATAGT